CGCTCGCCGCCACCCCGGCCTGCTTCTGCTAGGGTGACAGATGGCCTCACCTGTCACCCCCAGGCCTGCGCTTATGGAGGACGGAGGTCGTTCTGCGTACTGTCTGTACCTGGACGGAGGGAATGAGGACAAAACCTAGCAAATGCCATTGCCTTTGTCTGGGCCGGTGAGGTACCAGATAAGTCAGGACACCGCTTTATTTTCAAAAAGAAGGTACATGATATCTATAACTAGGTAATCCATAGTATACCACATATTTCGGTATTCATAGTGTGCAAATATAATATGTCTATGTATTTATATAAATATTACTGAATATATATGTATTTATATGATTGTATATGTGTGTATTCATGATGTGTTGTGTTGTATATGTGTATGTATAACTTTATGTATGTAGCGAACAGTTACATACATGATGATGATGATGATGATGATGATGATGATGATGACGACGACGACGACTTAATATATTAAGACGTAACCTCTATGCACCTACCTTACAAGATTTCTACACCACCCAAAGATTGACTGGTTACACGTCGTTCCGGTGCTGCTGGTACCCGAGACCGCGTGGCGACCGCTTAAACCACTACGCCATCCGTGCAGCCAATTAAATTAAGAAAAGGTTAAAAAACATGAAGTAGTAGTAGTATAATAGTATAGTGAAGTAGTATAATATTGTTTATTACTTATTTTATTCGTAATACGCAAATAGCTGTTGCCCAGCCTATCTCTTCAATATTAAAGGTTAATCAGATTGCCACTATCCTCGGTGCTTATACGATGCGAGATTTATTGCCTTGCCAACTACACTGCTGTTAATTAAAAAAAAGAAAACGCACTTGGTTGTCCTCTATTTTGGCCGTTGGCTACAAACTCTAAGAAAACTATTTACTAATTCTTTCATTACTATAGAGTTATTTTATTCAAATATTAATACAAATCTAGTTATTCTTATTATTTTAAAGTAACGGTGAAAGAAAAGGTTTCAAGGCCACTAGATAGATGTACACATAAAAACTTTATCTCCCTTCAAAGAGATTATGATTAGATGATACGTTACGATAATTGAATCTATCGGTATAAGGTATATAACCTTCAAAGGGCTAAAAAGGATCATGCCGAGGAAAAACTTATTGCTAAAAGCATTAGATAAAGATAGGACCTTAGTTTCTGCTGACGGTGCGGCGGGCCGTCCCGCGAAGCCACCGTTTTGTATATTATCTCGCGCTACAAATCACACCGGATGTCCCGCAGAGGGGAAATGAAAATTGAGATACCGGCGAGGCATTGTTCCGTGAAAATATATCTTCTTGATATTCTCAGGGCGCGGGACAGCCGACGACGCACGGATATTGCTATAATGTTACGTCATCGTGAGATAAAAGCGCTTTTGATATCGCGCCGGATAAATTTTCACTTTCGCACAACAATTCCCACACCTCTTTCTGCTAGATTTTTCTGAACAACTTATTTGTTGTTGCTTTTTCTCCGAGATACTCGTGTGATTAAATGCAATAAAATATTTGTAAATCGTCTGTTTAAATAAGGGAAAGATGAGAGACCTTAAACAAAAACTAAACTAAATGAAACAAAAAGCTTAAATCTCTAAGAGATTTGAGACAGATTTGCAAGACTCCGCTTTTTTTTTTAAGGTTCTACCAGCAACCGAAATTACTAGTATTCCCGTTAACCCCTCCAGATAAGCTAAATTACTTGTGATAGGAGTACCCACGACCTCTTGATCGTAAGTCCAATGCCTTAAACACTAGGCTACCGCCGCTTATTATATTATTTATAAGATCTAGATCTAAGATCTAGGAGGCTTACAGTTATTTTCATCCATCACACCACCACTAGTTGCTTACTCGTCATATTGACATTTGTGTTGCAAAACAAATATTATTATCTGATCGAATACTAATAACTTATTGATTAATAAAAATTAAAAATACTTATTTATTTGAAATGCTAATAAGTTTTTAAAACTTATTAATGTATAGAAGTAGACAGATTGGTTCGGGATATATCGCTTGACCTACTTGAGCTCGCTTAATTGATGAAACTTCGCCAAATCGCAAATTTGGCCGATTGGTGTCGTTATGACTGACTGGTTATGACTGACATGAGGCATATTTTATATAGCCCCAATTCAGTTGATTGCCTGTGCCAGGGCTGCCCATATTTAATTATAAATATCTTTTGAAGTGTAATTTAAAAACTTCAAATGTACAGCTACTTACAATTTTGTAAGTAGAAGTCTAAGGTTATAAATACAATATAAAGTGGGTAATGAAAACTATGAAATCTATTGACTGGCTTTCAATAATCAGTTTTTTTGTCACAAAAAAAACAGCACAGAGTGTGGTTTAAGCGGTCACCTCGCCGGCACCTGCTTCCTGCGTGTTGTGAATTCGAACCTCACATGGTGTTTCACCTTGCGTGCCTGTTTAATGAATGTTTGTCAACTCCTCCGCGACACAAGATAGTTATTCATAGCGCATTTAAAGAAAAAAAATGACTTAGTTTTTAACATTGGTATATTTTAAAGGTACCGTTGTCCGTCGCCGTCTGTCTGTTTGTCAAGATCTTTTATCTATATTTTAACGCATATGTTGACACTCTCACGGGAATCAAAATTCATAGGGTAAAACTATACATTTGTACAATAAAAGTACAATGATTCATTAAAACAAAATTTTATTTTTCTGAGTTCATTGTTTTAAAAAAATTCGACGTCCAGCAATATTTATAGGATCCTGATTTGACTAAGTCATGAGCGACGAAGTGTGAACGGGACCCCTTTGCTGTTGTCCATATCCTCTCTGCTCCTCTTGACACTAAAATAAAAAAAAGATAGCTTGGCGGTGTCTTATTTCCACTGCCCACCAGATTAACATCAGTATCTGATTTACATATAAGGAGTAGTGGTGGGCGTACGTCTGCGCTAGCGCCGGGGGTGTGTTCTAGATGGATGAATCATGGGGGCGTTGTTTCGCACGCTGAAAGGTGTGGTCAACGTTGTGACAGTACTCCAACCGAGTGGTAGTTAAAAAAAAACAATTTTTTGTAAATAAAAATGCTATTTTTTTATTATCTAGCAGTTTTACGTATATGGTTTATTTTCTGAGTTATTTTAAATCTGTTTTTTTATTTATATCAAAAACACCTATTCCACTTTGAACATATATTTTTATTCAAAAATTAAACTGGTCAAACTTTTGTATTTTATTGTAATGTTGAATAAAATCAATTTGTAAATGTGTAGGTAAATGTGCTCATGGTTCGAAACAAGTTTACTCTATTACTGTTAAAAAAAATCTAAGATCTACTTTTCTGGTCAAGCGTAAGTTGTTTATATATATATATATATATTAATAAACTTGTCGAATTCTTTTAATGATACGAGTTGATCCTTTTTTCATGCAAGGATTACTTGATTCTATTAGACGAACAAAACAGGATCAAGGAATGTTGGTCAAAATTGATGAAATAATATGCCATTCAAATGTAACTAAGAATGCAATGGTCGCAATATCAAAACTGATGGTTTAATGTTCTATGTTTTAATAAAAAAGAGCCCGCTGAAATAGAGCGTTCAACGGGGCGGGTAAAAACCAAATATTTACCTAATTCATGTTAAGATTTCTTGCATGAAGGACAATACCAGTCCCCGTCCGGTGTAGTAGATATGCCGACGCAAGAGAAATGGTACCACTTCCACGGGTAGTTCACCCCATCGCACCCTATCACAGGTGCATCTAAGATGTACACTCCGCAGTACTGAAACGATCTTGTCTCTAAGTCGTCTTCAAATTGTCACTTGACCCACTTCATTGGCAGCACGTTGCACTTGTGGGCAGCAAATTTCCACTTTTTCACCGGATACCTACTGCATCAGGTTCTGTCAGTGCCATGGCGCCAATATAAGTGTTCCAACAATATTTTGTAGTCTGAAAATATCATCAGGCACTGGCCACATTGGGAAACTGTTTCTACTATGGAGGTGTTCATACTTGCGAATTCAAAAAATAATCTTCTCTCCAAAACTACTGTGGGCGGAATAATTTAAAATGAACAAGACATTAATTATATAGGTGGCTGCGTGTGCTAGTTAGACATAGTTAGTTACATATTGAAATTCCTATTTACCGTTAGTGAGTTATTATCCTAACCACATCAGTCACAAAGACCAATCAAAAAAATTGACAGTAGATCGCATTGTAACCCTTTTTTCAAGCCCAACGAAAGTACCGACCAATCAGGTAGCAATATCTTGCCAGTAAGGGAGATGGCCGGGCGATAAGACATCGCAAAATATAATTAACATGAATGTTACTCATTCGTTTTTTATGTGGTTCGTTTTCTAGATATTAGTTAAAGTGCAGAAAGGTGATTTAAATTAACGAAGTTTTATACGGTAAATAAAATGTAATACTTAAATATTTAGTACTTTTCAAAACTTCGATAAGAAATTTCATTTGCAAATGAAAAACCTAGCATATCTATTGGAGTGAATATTTACTAACATTGAGGAACCACAGTAAAGAGTTGTTTGTAGCTTTACCTATTTTTTTCTAAAATCAAGACAAATCTTTACAATGCGAGACACAAATCTCAGAATATTAAAAATTCAACGTTTGAAATAGCCTCTGAAGTTCAAATACCAGAGGACTGTAGTAAACTTTTAACTTTTCAACGACGGGCATAAAAATTCATGAAAGACAAAACTAAAACTAAAAGATTTGTCCAAAATATGAAACATTACCTAAGAAATTCAACTTTTAAAATTGTTGTAAACCTTTTCAGATAGCTATATAAAATTTATGGAGACCTCTGTAGCACTCCTGAGAAAATACATATTGTGTCATCAAATTCCATAAAACATAAATAGCAATTATGACATAAAAGGAAGCAAAATATGGCACTATGTTTGCACTTCACCAACCACAAATTCCTGATTGGAATCTAATTTCATTTAGATCGTACCATGGAAAATGATTCGTCTCAATGAAACCTCTGACATTACGAACCTGGTGCTGGGGCTACCTGTAGCCCTGGGAGCAGCACCAGGTAATAAATAGGGTCTGATGATGGTAGGTGTGAGTGAGCTTTAGTCCTGTAACTTGCTAGTGTCCAAAGACCGACTTCGTCTGAATTAAGAATACATTTTAAACAAACTTTGTTCGGGAATTACGCATTTTCGTAGCGCCACTAATTCTGATATTTTTTTACGTCAAAGTTAATTGAAATGAGATCGTATTTAGCTCAGTCTGTGATTCCGTTTGTATGCACAAAAGGGCACTCAAGATTTGAGTTTGACTTGCAGAAGCGTTAATGATATTCTGTGTGAATTCTCTTGCGAAGATTTTAACGAAACTAAACTTTAAACAGGAATAAACTCATGTAATGACAGATTGCGTTTTTGTTTAATGGCATGGGGGCAATCGGGTAGACGGGTCACCTGATGGATAGCAACTACCGCCGCTCATGAACGCCTGCAACTCAGGAGTCACAAGCGCGTTGCCAGCCTTTGAGGAAGGAGTACGCTCTTTTCTTGAAGGATTGAAGGTCATATTGGTCCGGAAATACCGCAGACAATAACTTGTTCCACAGGCTGGTAGTGCAAGGCAAAAAGTGTCTTGAAAAGCGCACAGTGGTGGAGCGCCAATTATCCAAGTGGTGGGGATGAAAATTTTGCCGTGTCGAACGATGGCGGAAGGTTGCAGCCGGTATTAGTCCGAAGAATTCCTCGGAGCACTCTCCATGAAATATACGATAGAGAATGCAGAGCGAAGCTACATCTCTACGTAACGCCAAGGGATCGAGCCGGTCGTAAATTTGGATCTGCCACCAATGGGAATAAGTGTAGATGGAACAAATAGTTCCATGCCCTGAAGCACTTCATCAGTGACAAAATCGGCAACGACGTTGGGATCATCCGGCAAGAAACAAACCCGCCTCCATGGTTAGGCCGCAAAGAAAGAGCGCATCCCATCCCAGTCCGCTGACCTATGGTTCGGTAACTCCGTAATAGGCAAGTGGCACCGTACTCCGCAATAGGCAATGATCGGAAGAGCCAAGTGGGGCTGCAACGACGACTTTATAGCCTATTAAGGCTCAAGACTTTCCGCATGTGGGACTCGCGTGGGCGTTGATACCAGTTGTGACAAGCTTTAGGTCAGGGCGAAATTGTGAACAGTTCTCCCCGCGTGATCGGTTTTACGTGAGCCATTCGGCGTTGTGAGCGTTAAAATCGCCAAGAATCACGATCCCTGCGGATGGAGAAATGTAGGAGGAGCAGGAGCACAGAATCTGTAGCCATTTGAACGTGGTCCATCAGTCGGTCTGTTTCGGTATCATCGCTATGGAACCTGTAGAGACATGCATTTAGGTCCGGTAAGGGGCCTTATAGCGTTTCCAGCTTGTTTCTTGACGGACAGTCTGTCAAAGTAGTGGAAAAGTTTAGGTAACTTGGCCAGTGAAGGCCAGCAACGTCGCGATACTGCGACAACCGCAGCGAGTGCTGGCCATCAGGATCATAAGGGGGTACCGCACAATCTCCTTTGAGGCGGCGAGTCTCCTGGCCGGAACTCCACCGTGGGACCTGGAGGCGAGAGCCCTTGCGGCTCTGTATAAGTGGCGCAAGGAGGCGCGCGTTGGGCCGGTGTCCCAAGACTCGAGAAATCGGTGACCGGAAATCCCAACTCCGCCAGGTCATCATAGGGGAGTGGAAGGAACGATTCGGGCAACCAAGCGCCGGGCACGCCGTCATCGCGGCGGTAAGACCCGTTATGGAGGATTGGCTCGAGAGGCGTCACGGGACCCTCTCATACCGACTGACGCAGGTGATCACTGGGAAAGGATGTTTCGGGGATCACCTGTGTCTGATCCGCAAGGAGCCAACGCCTGAGTGCCACCACTGCTATGGCCAGAGTGCCAGAGTGCCCGGCGTGGGTTGAGCAGAGGCGAGACCTCGTTGCGGCCATCGGAGTGGGAGTTCTCTCGCTCGATAGCCTGATTGCGGCTATCGTGCGGAGCAAGAGTACGTGGAACTCTGCCGTCTCCTCTGGACCTCCGTCCTCCATAAGCGCAGGCCTGGGGGTGACTGGTGAGGCCATCTGTCACCCTAGCAGAAGCAGGCCGGGGTGGCTGCGAGCGCATTGCGAAGCGCGCTCGCTTCCAGGGAGCAGAGGGAACATGGGGTTCCCACAAGGGGGGGTCGTCTACCTGTTGTTGTAGATGGCCCGAGGTATGTCGGGGCACCAGGGACTTCCTTTCTAGGGTATACCTGGTTCCCCGGCTATTAGTACCCGAGACGGCGTGCGGTTTTAGTCGGTTCGTGTCCGACATGCCACCGATAGGTGGTATCCGAGGGGATTACCGCACGAAAAAAAAAAAAAAGAGGTACCTTGGCCATATTTTAACATCAAACCTGAGGGATAACAGTGATGTTGAACGCGCACGGAGAGCCTTATGTGTTTTGGGCAATATGATCTGTAGGAAATACTGTAAGTCTACCCCAGACGTTAAAGTAACACTGTTTCGCTCCTTTTGTCAGACATTCTACACTTGTCAAATTTGGACTAATTATACGATGAAATCGATAAATAGTATTCAGGTTGCCTACCGAAAACCTCATCACTCAGTGAAATGCAACATGGAATTGCTTGACGACCGATTTTCGTAGTATCTCATCGGTCAAGACGGCCCATTTATGACGAAGCACGGACCTCACACGTTAGTATTTATTTCATGTTAATGTACATATGTTTTGCGTCTCCGATCTTTAATTTAGGTATAAAATTGGTAAATTTACCTTTACATCGTCTCGTGTATGTTTATAAAGTCTACTGCGACACAGGATACATTACTAGTGAGGAGGTTGTCTTTAAAAAAAACTATAACATAAAATCTTGTTCCCATAGGCCTTGTCGAGGTATATCCCATAATTACGTTACATTCCTATTTTACTCACCAAACAAGGAATTAATATTACTTAATGGAGTTACGCAGGTTCTCTCTTTTATCATTTAAAATTACATTTTATTGTCGTTATAAATATTATTCAAGCGTTAACAATAATTAGTAAAATGTTGTTCTTTCACTATTAATAACGGTGATTAGAATTTGATGACTAAGATGCTTAATAAGATCATAATAGTTAGAAAAAGAAAACAGAAGGGTTAAAACCTACGATGATGCGGTCCACCTCTATACAGTTGTTTGACACATTTATAATATTATTTACCTTTAAACTATGCATTACGCTCCACATGCAAGTTCTTAAATTAAATTACTTAATGCCATACAGGATTCTTTGTAACCATTAGCTAATTTGATTGCAGAATATGATGCTTAATTATGATTACTTTACATATATATAATTAGCATAATTGTAATTAGTTTATATTTAGATTACTGACAAAAAGGTTATTTAAACAAGAAGTTAGTTATGAACCTCGTATGGTATTAGGGTATGAAAATCTCGATAGATTCGTGATTCCGGGACAAGAGATAATCTTCGACGAACAACGAAGATTTAGAAAGGAAGCATTTTTTTTATTTTCGTACTATTTTTTATATTTTAACCGACGTATATTGAACCGTGTTATCTATTTCATTTTTTTGTGATTACTTTTAACACACACTAAAATATATATATATATTTATATATATATATATATATATATATATATATATATATATAATTATTATATGTTGTCGTTAAACTACCGTAATCTTAAAGATTTGCTGGTAAAACTGAGGATTTACATAACAACATAGAGAGCTTCTTTGGTATTTAATACATACACACATTTATAAACAATAAAGAATACTTTTAGACGTCCATCACAAAGTAACATGTCTATATTTGGCCGTTAATAATATCTGAGAGGTAAATCGTAACTTTGGACGGTGCGGTACTAAGAGTTGGAAAGAACGACAATCACAAAACAATTCGACTTTTATCGTTAAAAGTTGGTAAATTTTGGGCTTTACTGGCTATTCTTAAGATTTACCAATGTTTACCAATGTTTTACAATAACACGTACACGATGTACGAGTGTATGTGTAGGAATATAAGAAATCCACCAGAAATGTATCTAATAAAAATTCATTAATTTTTGTGTTCACCGAAAAATATAACTACCGTAACTTTTATTGTGTTTTGTTCATTGTAAGTCATTTATGTTATATCTATCTATTATAAACAAAAAAGCAATATATTCAGAGCATGACTGCGGTTAGCCTTCCGCCGATCCTGTACTGTGTAAATATTTACAACATCCAGTTCTTATCCTATGTTTTCTTTTTAATCTTACCGCGGGAACAGATAAACATTAAGTTGAAACAGGAGAGCTCTAAGAAATCTTTAAAGCAAACCTTGTGGAGGTTAAGTGGCCACTTCAACCGTGATTCTGGGGGAGGGGTATTAAAAAGGTGGCAACGCACTTGTGTCTCATGAGTTGTTACTTTCTACGTTGCACTGCTCACTGACAACCACAAATAAATTATATTGAGTCCAACAGATAATTGTTTTCATGTATATAGTATATTCAATTAGTGCACTAGTCAGTTTTAAAATGAGAAACCCCTTTGATACGAAAATTTTTAGGCATAAAGGCTGGATAATGTAGACGCTCCTTGTGCCGGATCATATTAGCATAACACCTAACTTAAAGGATTATTCTTTACATAAAACATCTATACCTCATTGAAATTGTGATGTACGTTACATTCGTCGCCGTGAGTAACGGTTATGATGCAATTAGCATGTTCTTTATGAGGATTAGCCATTGACGTAATTTGGTTTTAGTTAAGAAGGGCAAATGAGAATTTACAGTACTGGTTCTCTATGTTATAAACTTATAAAACGATAAACACACGCGAATATGCTTAAAGGGTTTGAGGCGGACACGAGTGTATGTACTAAACGTAGAGAAATGTTTGAAATCTAAACAAATAAGCGGATACCGGGTCTATACAGACTCGAGATACCACTTTTTCGCGTATACATTAGCAACTTATCCTCACCATGAGGTTTTTCGACTGAGTTGAAAGAACACCTGCTATTTTTCGCTGGACGCTCCGGTATGCTACGCTAGCATAGCGTCCGCTCCACTAGGTTACGGATACTATAAATAAGTAGTACTACCAGTAAGAAACCTGAAGTAAGCTACACCCTTTTGTTCTAATATTTGCACTCCATAATACCAACTTAAATAATAACACTAAAAGGTATTTTTGCCATTAAATACTAAAATTGTCCAAGCGCACTCAATATACGAATCTTAAAAAAAAAAGACAATAATTTTAAAATCATTTTTCTTGCACCTTATTAATATGATGACCTAAATATGTACAAAAACAGCCAAAATTTCGTAAAAAAACGTAAATCGAATTAGTAATGAAAGTGGATTTAATTACCCGTTATCATAAGTACGTATGCATTCAATAGCGGTTGTGTTAACCTTTAACATAAACACCAGGTGCCATTGCACAAGAACACGATTTGTTGTATTGCTCGTACGGTCGTAGTACGAAAGAGACGAGACCGATGTAAAATAATACATCTGCTTCTACGGTATTACGTGCCTCGACTCCTGAGTGACGTCTCGACTGCTTCTATAGGTCTTTGTTAGAGCCGGGACAACGTCACTCCTTGTACTACTGAATGCAAATTATTTTGTAATACTTTTACTATATTTTATGAGAAAACGTTCCTAATCTGTCTCAAGTAGAAACTGTTTATAATATCTAATAAAGACTTATTACTGTAAGAAGTGAGTGGAATGCAGTATTAATATTAATAAATCATTTCACTATAAAGGTCAATTAAGTAGTAACTATGCTGACTTTAATAGTAATTTATAAGTACATGAAGGGGATAAACAAAGAGGACTTTAATAATGTCTATAAGTCAATATAAATTTTATTGTAATTCAGAGTAATTCATTATAGATAACGGATCTGTGGCGAGGCGCGGACCTGGCTCGGATGATACTAATAAATATGCTAATGCTGGCATCCCTGACGGATTTTCCTGGATTTTCATTTTCTTAATACCGATGACGAGGATGAAAATAAAGCTTTTCTATCTTGAAATATGGGTCTACCTGGAAAGGTAAATGTTAATGGTAATTTATTACACTCGATATCTCTCACACTAGGGAATAATCCCAGTGTACGTGAATTTATTCAAAAACATACAGTTATCTGATAAAAACTGTATCAACACAGATTCTGTTAAATACACATAAATAGTTGTTACATGTTTTGTTTAAACCTACTACACGGCGTATAGGCAAGTCGGTTAGGTCTCCAACTAAACTGTTGCCCGTTGCTCCGCTTGCGTGATTATTTGTTATTTCGTGTTTCTGTCTTTGAAAATGACGAAATTCCATTAAACTATTCATCGGTTATTTCAACATCATAGAAGCGAAAGTTCTAAAAATCCTTTTTGAGTGGGCGCTTACATTATAAAAGTATCAGCTGCCCAAATTTTGCTTGGCTCTGCGTTGGTGAATTAATCCGTCAGTCAGGCAAGTAGTTTTATACTCGTATGTATAGATCAAACAGGGCGCGAGAATTGTTTTGGTCACTTGATAACTTGTCAACCATAATTAAAAAAGTTTTTCATTCGAATTGAAAGTTAGCAGTGGTTCCAAGTATAAACAAGCAAGTATGAACTTATTCTGAGCGTATTTGTTCAGAATTTAAAAGTCTTTTGTGTGACAATTTTATAAACTAAAGTTTCTTACTCTATAGAAACTAAGTTCGAAAATTCGGTTCAGTTTGATAAATTCATTTAGAATATGCTGAAGTTAGATTTGGTTAATATATGACCATTAATTTGAACACAATAAATACCGTTTTGTGTTATTCATTACATTCATTCATTCACTCATTCCAATAATAATATTTTTTTATAAAAGGCAGTATTTAAGGCACATAGCAAAGGAATTGAGTGAATTCATTCATTTTTCGTTTCTTATTAGCCTCGCACATTTTTTGCGTGCAAATTTATACTATTTTAGTACTGACCGTCTTAAAAGTTAAAAATATATATATATATATATATATATATATATATATATATATATATATATATATATATTGTAACAGTTAGTTATAATTTGTTTAAACTTATGAGCAGGTAAAGAATTACACAATAGATCGCATAGCAACCTTTTTTCAAGGTGAACGAAATGACCAACCAATCAGGCAGAAATATCTTATCAGTAAGGGAGAGGCTAGTTAAAGTGCAGAAGGGGGTTTTAAACTAACGAAATGTAAATATATATATGTATATATATATACATATATACGAAAAAAAATAATTATACTTAAATATTTAATACTTTTCGAAACTTCGCTAATAAACTACATCTGCAGATAGAAAACCTATCACATCTATTTAGAGTGCATGTTTATTAACATGGAAGAACTTAAGTACAGAGTAGGTTGAAGCTTAACCTTAATTTTCTAAAATCGATACAAGCCTTTACAATGCGAGAAACAAACAACAAAATATTAAAAATTCAACGTTTGTAAGAACCTCTGAAGTTCAAATACCAAAGGACTGTAAAAACTTTTTACTTCTTACAACGGGTATAAAAATTCATGAAAGACAAAACTAAAACTAAAAGCTTTGTCCAAAATATAGAACGTTATCTAAAATTTTGAATTGGACTTTTGAAATTGTTGTAAAACTTTTCAGATAGTTTTATATAATTCATGGAGACCTCGGTAGCACTCCGGAGGAAACACATATTGTGTCATCGATGACCATCTTATCAATGGATAAAAGGAAGCAAAATATGAACTATGTCTGCACATATTGAAGCACAAATTCCTAAATGGTATCCAGTTTCATTCAGGTCGGACGGCAGACAGAAACGGAACGTAAGAAAACGTAAGAAGTAAGGGTTTTTCATTTTACACAGGCGTTATGGAAGAAAGTTAAAGAATCAAACATGACTAAAAAAGAGTTTATAAACAGCACATTGCTGCTGTTTTTCATTTTTTTGGTTACATTTATAGGACTAATACTCCAGTAGAATGTTGTAATGATAAATTTAAGTGAAAAATAACGATGTCGGGCAAACTAAATGATGCCGACTTTTGGTAACCTGGTTGAAATGCCAAGGTAATGCGACGTACATTCATATGATATTCTAATAGACAAAATTGTTAATGAAATATATAACACCAATAACACGCTATAATATCAATGACACAACAACTTTGGGTCATTGCTTGAGAAAAATTATCCTTTTTTAGGTTTGTTTTTACATATTTTATTTTAAATTGTATTTTAGATTAAGTAACAGTTGTACTGTCACATCACATCACATCAACAGCCTTTACCAGTCCACTGCTGGACATAGGCCTCTCCTTAGAAAGGAGGTTTTGGCCTACTATACCTCGCTGGCCAGACGGGTTGGTATAGGGTTTGTGTCAAGTTTTCCTTCTCTCTGCAGTGATGTTGTTATGCGTAGTTTTTTCCCGTAGTCGGCTCTTACGACACCTTGTTGACCAGTTGTACTGTATATACATATAAATGATTCTAATTTGATTGTAAAGTTAATTTGTTTACTACTGACACATGATTTACAAATATTATACATTCGTGTAAAAGTAATGATTATTTACAATAAAAAACACAGGCCAAACATTTACTTATAGGTATCTAATAGAGATACATTTCGATATTTTTTGGCAAATTTAAATGTTGAATTTGTGTGAATTGGTAGATTAAATGCTTAATAATTTTTTTTTGGGTTCCATTCTCACCCTGTACAAATAATTGTGTGACGAGCACGATCATTTGTATTGTGTCTGGGTGTAATTTATCTATAATATCTATTATGTGAGTCAGTAAGCCAATACTCCTATTCCAGGTCAAGAACTGAGGTTTCGCCCGCCAGAAATCGGTGTTATTGCCACTTAATGATTTCTGCATAACTCATAAGGACGACTTGATTTCTCTATGTATTGAAATTGAGTATTCTTTGCTTGTTCTATTCACTTACATCGGACTGTTTTTAGTTTCAATTTTTTTGTCTTCCTGTGACATAAATTTATTGTTTTGACACATTGGCGTAATTGCAATACCAACTATGGATGGATGAGGGATATGGCTTAATGTAAATTTACATATTTCTTTTCAAGCGAAAAGCAGTTTAGCATTAGCAATAACATTAATATTTTAAATTTTAGAACGACGATGTCTTAGCGTTGATACCAATGAGAAAGTGAATGTGAAGCTATCAAATGAAACAACGAAATATCGTGTAAGTATTAATTCGTAGATTCAAATTTTACACCTACAATTAATTTGCTTAAATAATTCACAATTAAATATAAGTGGGAAGACTAATTAATCCATCACTACTTAAAGAATTAAACACAATAAATGTTTGCTTCAATAATTTAAATAGCAAGTGGTATTGATCATTTATTTTTGCGTATTGTGCATGTTCAGAGTCTGAATGCAGTAGGTTAGATGTCGTGACAGAGACAAAGAGAGTGAGAGAGATCATTAATTATTTTAAACAAAATGAATACACTTTATCATTTATTTTCAATTAAACTCTAGTAACTTGATATTACATAATCTAAATTTTAATGACAGTATATCTGTTTTTTTCCTCACACCCATAGACTCCTCACGCCGTTTTTTTTTTCTGTTCAGAAATCCCCTTGGATGACCCACCGGTGGGATGGCTTTGTCGGACTCGAACCGACCAAAATCCGCAAGCCGTCCAGTTACCAGTTGCCAGAGAACAAGTTGTACTAGAAAGGAAGTCCCTAGTACCCCAAAAGCACCTCGGGCCATCTACGGTGTGTAGATGACACCCTCCTGTGTGGGAACCCCTATGTCCCCATTGTACTTCCGAAAGAACGCGCGCGCTACACAGCACTACTGGCCACCAGCCTGCTTCTTCTAGGGTGACAGATGGCCTCAACTACCACCCCAAGGCTTGCGCTTAAAGAGGACGGAGGTCGTACTGCGACCTCCGGCGCCTGAGTCGTCTACGGTACCTGGCCTATTCCCGGGCCAGGCGGGCGTGTAGAGAACTTTGTGCTTTTAGACGACGACGGCTATAAAAATTCATGAATAAAAAAAACTAAAAGATTTGTCCAAAAACATGGAGCATTACCTAGGAGGATTTTAAACTTGTTGAAAAACATTTCAGATATTTATATATATATTTATGGAGACCTCGGAAGCACTCCGGAGAAAATACATATTGTGTCATCAAATTCCATCTTATAACTGGATGAAACATAAATGGACACTATGTTTGCACTTACTAAAGTACAAATTCCTGATTGGTTTCTAATTTCATTTAGGTCGGACTATTAAAAGGCAGCCATAAATGGAACAAACAGTTCATTCACAGGCTTTATGGCAGAAAGCTAAAAAAATAAAAATAAAATAATAAACATGACTAAACAAAACGCTATAGCAAGCATGTTGCTTTATGTTCCGCACTAGCTTTGCTATCATCACAGTATAAATCCGACGGATGGTTTCCTAGGTAATGTTCCATATTTTGATCACATCTTTTAGTTTTAGTTTTGTTTTTCATAAATTTTTATATAAAAAGTTTTCTGCCGTCCTCTGGTTTTTGAACTTTAGAGGCTCTTACAAACGTTGAACATTTAATATTTTCAGATTTGTGTCTTGCATTGTAAAGACTTATCTTGATTTTAGAAAATTTAAGTAAAACTTCAACCAACTCTGTACTTAGGTTAATCAATGTTAATAAACATGCACTCCAAATAGATGTGATAGGTTTCCCATCTGCAAATGAAGTTTATTATCGAAGTTTAGAAAAGCATTAAATATTTAAATATTGAATTTAGTTTACCATTAAACTTCGTTAATTTAAAACACCCTTCTGAACTTTAATTAATATCTAGAATACGAACCACATAAAATAACGAATGAGTAACATTCATGTAAATTACATTTTGCGATGTCTTATCGCCCGGCCATCTCTCTTACTGATAAGATATTGCCACCTGATTGGTCGGTCATTTCGTTGGGCTTGAGAAAAGGTTACAATGCAATCTACTGTTTAGTTTTTTAACCTGCTCATAATTTTGAACAAT